TTTTTTTTTGTGTTTTTTCCTTTCTCGGTTTATTTTTCCTATTTTTTTTGGGGTCTTTTTTTTTTTTTTTTTTTTTTTTTTTTTTTTTTTTTTTTTTTTTTTTTTGCGTTTGTCAATTGTCAACTGAACAACAACAAACGAGTATACATCTTTCCAATTTGCCCCCGCCGACAAGCACTGAAATTCTGATGGATGGCGTGGGGAACTCGACGTTTTTTTTTTTTTGAGTTGAGAGCGCAGACCAAAGGCAGCCAGATTGACATAAGCGGACGGACGTGATGCATCCACGTGGCACTTCCTACTGTATTGGCATTTCGAACCCCAGGAGAGAGCCCATCTTCACCCCATGCCGTCCGATCCTGTTAGAAATCCGACAAATCAACGGTGATTATCAACCCACCTCAGTTCCTTGCGATCTGCGAATATGACCCCACTACTATATATACGCCTTTGGACCCCACGTCGAGCCCCATCTTCACCCCATCTCGTCCAATCCTGTAAGAAATCCGACAAATCAATCCTGTTTGAAATCCGAGAAATCAACCCACCTCAGATTATTTAGACCCCGCGAGAGCCCATCTTCACATCATTGTCCGACCGTGTTAGAAATCCGACCAATCAACCCACCTTACGCTCTCTTGCGGAGCGCGCAAAAATGAGCCCACCAATCGTCACTCCTCAAACGGAGGAGGAAGAGAGTAAAACACCAAACGGCGGCTAACTGTCGACGGATCGAGCCGTGGTAACGGATCAGCTGTCGGCTCGGGACATCATCAGATGCTGTTAGAAATCCGAGAAACCAATCCACCTCAGCTTCTTGCGATTGCGCATATGTGCCCAACACCTATCATCCCACCTCAACCGGAGGAAGACAACGACACACAAAACGGCGGCTTAGTGTTAACGGATGGAGCGATGACGGATCAGCTGACAGCTCGAGGGACATGCGCAGAATGAGCACACCCATCATCACCTCGAACGGAAGACTGCAAATGCCAAACGGCGGCTAAGTTAACGGATCAGCTGAGGGCCATACCAAACGGCGGCTAAGTTAATGGATCGAGCCCATTTGAGCATACACAATCATCATCGCCTCTAACGGAAGACCACCATACCAAACGGCGCAGACGAGCGTAAACTATCATCACCTCAAACGGCGGCTAAGTCAACGGATCAAGCCATACCAAACGGCGGCTAAGTAAACGGATCAAGCCATACCAAACGGCGGCTAAGTAAACGGATCGAGCCATACCAAACTGCGGATATGAGCACACACAATCATGATCACCTTAAACGGACTACCACCATACCAAACGGCGGCTAAGCTAACGGATCTGACCCACAACAGGTCAGCTAACGGCTCCGTGCAATCTGCGCAGGAGCCACCAACCATCACCTCACACGACAAACTACTACAACACTAAACGGTGCCCCCGTTAACGGATCGAGCAATAGCAGGGTAGCCAACAGCTCAACAACTAAGTACTAACAGCAGACTAACTGACAGCGTGCGGCAATCTGCGCGAGAGCGCAGCAACGATCGCCCCTATGACGGAGGGGACCACCACCATGATACCCCCAACGGCGGCTAAGTTATATCCAACACAGATCAGTCCACAGTTCAACTGCACCGAGACTGACGACTCTTGTAATAAGCCCATCGATCATCAGGCCTCGCTGCACACCACAGCACTCTACAATGTCTACATGCATCTAGACACTTTCTCGACCCGGCACATTCAAAATGTTGAACTCGTGCAGCTGCAGCTGCTCCATGAAAAAGAGGCCACATGCATGCAGAAGTGCTACGTACTGCAGCGACTCCAATAGCAGAAACGACGACTAATGCATGCTGCATGCTTGTCCATATTTATTGCTACGTACTGCGTCGATCATCCCATACGAGTTTAGTTAAATGGCTTCAGACTGATCTACGCAATAAATATGGACACGCATTGTACATAATAATATGTTGTGACAAAAACAGAAACAAACAAAATCTCCGAGACACTAACAAAAAACACCTGACCTAACAAAAATGACCAATTCCCCTGAAATCTTATCGGATCGAACTCCCGTCATTCGCATTAGGCGTAGCAGTAGGGCCCCCGATAGATCGCTTAGGGCCATGATACCGGTAGGCAGTACTACGGGTAGGCACTGGTGTGTAGACCGCTCTGGACGTGATTCCGGTCATAGACAGATGCGTCCAGCTCGGCGACCGTAATTGCGATCAGATACATTAGATGAAGTGCTATAAATTAAATCGGAGAATTTACTTAGCTTCTCCTCGGCTCGTCGGTCTATTCCGATATCGCAATCCAAAAAATCGTCGTGCTAATGGTCCGTAGACACAGCTATGGATGCTTGTGCTCACCCCTTTACACAGCCCGATTATTATACTGGCTCTCGGGCAACCCCCTCAGACCCCTCAGGCTACATATTATGGCAATATAATAACAGCCTCTATTCCGGTCGGGCGGGTGAATAAGCAACCGGACTGCTGGCCCCCAGAATAGAAGGGCCCTTGTTTTGTTAAAAATAACAAAAAAAAACAAAAAAAAACCCTACGACTGCTCTTCTCCAGAATCTCCAGAAGCTCCACTGCATACGAGACCAGACGCACGAACACCTAACCGCCCGGTCCGCCGCCCCCATACATCCTTCTTATTTCCTATTTTTTATTCTTGTTTTGATTGCCCGGTGAGAGAAAGGTTTTTTTTTTTTTTGTTGTTGAAAGTAGACGAAAGATTTGAGAGACGAATGTACCTTGGTTAGAAAGGAAGGGAAAAAAAAAAAAAA